AGACCATGTTTTTTTTTTTACCCCAATGCTGGGTTGTGACCTGTGATCATCTAAGGAGAATATATTTCATAAGTAGCAAAATAATCGTAGTGGCAAAGGAACTTTAATAATAAGCCAATATTTACTTAAACTGATGCCCATAGGTGGGCAAAAAAGCAGTGGGAATGGGAGCAGCTTCCATCTTTCTGCAGTTTTCCCATTCACTTTGCCTGTAAGAAGCTGACAGAGGGTCAGAAAACATGGTCCTGTAATCACGGGGACGCTGCAACAACCACAACTGTGCAAATAAAACCATTCTGACTATCATGGAAATTTCAATTACATAGACCTAATGGATCCTGGATTTTGTACACATTCTTTTAAGTTAGTGGATTTGAGTTACCTTGATTCAAAAATTGTTATGGGATAATGCAGAATTTTGGGCTAACCTGAGGGAACAAACAGACACACAGATAAATTTTAGGAGTATATTAGATAACTCATGATCTGTTGGGTCATCCTCTCAGAGTTATTTCGTTACCTAAACAGAGAAACGGAATAACTTACAGACGAACAAAAAAGCAGTGGGAGCAGGAGCAAATTCCAATGCACTGCTGACTTTTGCATTGACTTTGCTCGTGGCAAGGAACACCAGAAATCATGATTACGTGACTGTGGCAGTAACCACAACTTTGTGAATACAACTAGTGTGAAGATTCTTGAAAATTAAATTACATGAGAATAATGGGTACTGAATTTTGAATTTAAACTCTTCAAGTCCGTGGATTGGACATACCTTGATTCAAGCATTTTGGGGGTAATTGAAGGCTACAAACAGATAAACAGATATGAAGGTCGTAGAAGTATCTAGATAACCCATGATCCATTGCTATTACTCACTCATGTGCATTCTCCCTGGCTCTCACCATACTACCCTCATGGTCTTTAGCACCCCTCCTGCAATCTGCACTGCATCACAGTGCAGCCTCCCCACCCATGTGGCACCTCTTGCACTCACCCATGCACCTTCCTGACTCACGGTGCCTCTCGTGTAACACTGTACACTTTTGCCACAATCCTTCACACCCTCATGCACCCACTCTCCATGCACCCTCCGCAATCATACTTTTATGTACCCCTCACGCTCTGTGCGTCTTTCCTAACCCATGCAATCTGTCTTGTGCATCCCCTTGCACCCTCATGTACCCTCTCTGACATGCATGGTGCCTCCCACACATTCCTTCCCTCCCCCCCTCCCTCAGCCACTTTTAATGTATCGCTCATAGTAATAGGATTAAAAATCTGGAAATCAGCCATTTCAAAACCAAAATTCAACAACAAATTTGATAATAAAATCATGCCTGCCCATCCATGTAAGTCAATGAAAACCATAGAAGTCATCCACACAATGCCTAGTTAAATAACACAGATTTCATTATCTTGCAAAGTACCAGGGAAAACAATGCAAGGCAAAGCTCTTCTACTGGAGTGTTCCAAAGTAGATGGGCCACTACAGAGAAGGATTGGCTTCAGATCTACATTTCCCTGATTTGACCTAGGGAGAAGAACACAAAACTTTCTCCATACATGCATATGGGCTGGGCAGATTCCACTTGGACAAGAATTGATTGTCAGAAGGCGTGCAGCAGTTTTATATTGAAGCCACTTTGGGCAAATGACATAGGCTATTCTCCAAACTGAGTTCCACCAGATATTCTGGATTAAAACTCAAAGATAGTCAGCAATTTGTCATAGATAATGAGAATGCTTGTGTAAAATATTTTGAAGAACCCATGTTTGGAATGCTGTCCTGGTTCTTAATACTGCTGCCTTATTTTGTTCAGTGCCTTATTATTTATCTTGAAAGATTTCCATTGAAAAACAATGGCTGAAATAATTTACAGACATCTTAATTGCTCCAGTTTTATATGCTCAACGTTGTTAATTATAACTTTCCTAACCCCGAGTGGCAGCATTAAATTATTTGGGCTATATATATGAAATATAGCTACTTGATGTACCATAAGACCCATCTTTTCAAGCATTTGCTTCATGTGGGTGCATGATTTATAAACATCCGTTGAAGTAGCAAAGGTTATAGTTTGTGGTCATGCTGCCTTATTCTTTGTGGCTTGCTCTTTGTAGTGTTTCTCTCGAGTATTAACCACAACTAGGTGGAGCTGTTTTATGTTACATAGAAGTTAAACTCTTAAGCCTCTCAAGTATGTGATGTGTTTTGGCCAAATTTTTAGTGTCATATTCACCCTTGGAGTGTTTATGTACCCTTAATATGAACCTTAGCCAAGGGCACTGAGCCAAAATTGATATATACACGTATGCTTTTCATGCGAGTGAATGAAAAGAAGAAGAAAAACCTTACCTGAGAGTACTTTGAGATATTTTTATTTATATCATACATTTCTTAGGAACATTTCGAGTGTTCATCTTCCCAAGTCAATTCAAAGAATGTCCCCCAGGGCAGTGTACAACAAAAAACAACCTGGGAATTAAAATCCCACAATTGAAACCACAATATAGATAGGTCTCAACTTATAATTTATTTAGTGACTGTTTGAAGTTACAACCCATGTTGAAAAATGAGGCTTATGGCCAGTTTTCATACTTAATGACCTTTGCAGCATCCCCATGGTCATGTGATCAAAACATGTTGCACTTGGGAACTGGCATGTATTATGACAGTTGCACTGTTCTGGGGTCATGTCATCATCATTTGTAACCTTCCCAGTTGGCTTCTGACAAGCTGGATTCATTTAATGATCATATTATCCACTTAACAGTGATTTGCTTAACAATTGTGGTAAAAAGGTTGTAAAACGGGGCAACTCTCTGTTCCTTGCTTAGCAACAAAAATTTCAGGCTCAATCATGGCCCTAAATCAAGGGCTATTTGTAGGTGATTGTCACTAGTGAGAGAATCCAGCTACTTCAGCAACAGTGAGGCTTCCAATAGGGTTTCAATACATGGACAGGTTCCAAAGGGTGATCCTTTATTTTACTTGAAACTAAGTCACTTTGGATAGTGCAATGGGCAGCTTATAAATTAAATAAATAATAAATAAAAGTTGTGTGTAGGTTTTAAACGTGCATTTATCTTTTGGCATCACAGCCAAGCAAGCCCAAATAGGTTTACAACCCCAAATATTTAATTATAATGTACCCCAAAACATAGTCTAAATATATTAAAACCATAAAAGATTCTAATCATATAACACAAAACAATAATCTGACATTGAGATTACAGTGGAAGCGCACACTGGAATTTGACAGCAACATTAAAAAGGGCCAGAAAGCAAACAAATGAAAATACATTTGTCACGGTTTGTTTTTTTTAATGTCATAGAACAGACAAAGTGGATTATTTAGGGAAGGGCTTCCATTATAATGTAGTCACCAACTAAAAAGGTCCCAACCTTTGTCAGTTCAAAATAAGCCTCTCTTTAGAGAAGCACTTACAATGGGCTAAAATGCATTTTAGTTTTTGTGCTACTTCTTATGGAGGAAGAAATGTAGACAGCTGTAAAAAGAAAGTTAATAGAGACAGAGCATGCCTCAGTGGAGACATGCCAAGAAAAGTTTAGTTATCAGATTTTGGAACTACTGCAACTTTTGAATCTTTCAGAGGCATCATATGTACAGAATATTACAAAATAAAAGTAGCAGGTAACTAGCACATTGATCAGGCTAGTTGAATTGGTCTCCTCCAGGAAATTATGTACTCAATAAACAAGTAGAGCTAGAAAAATGTACTTAACACTATGTGGACCTGTAAGTACTAAAGGGTTAGAGCTAAATGTCAACATAGGTCAAAGATAATCACCAAACTCTGCACTTGGTTCTTAAGGAAAGAATCTCCCCATCTGCATCAGGAATTATCTCTTCCAGTTGCTCAATTCTTCTGTAAACATCAGTTTCAGTTTCAGTCAGTTATGTCTAATCCAATCTGAGCCAAGCAGGAATCAATCAGAGCCTAGCACATCAGTAAACGAAGGGATCAGAAGTAAACCTTTATCCTCATAGCAGTGATGCCAAGCCTCACAACAGTTATTCCTCAATGTAAATCCCATATCCACTAGCACTGATTATGTTATCTAATTGGATGAAATATGTGAAAGCAAATAATCAAGGTCAGATAGCACCAAGGAATCCATTAAGTAGCTTTCCTAAAGGCTGGCAAAATTGGGGTTTTTATTACAGAAAATAGGGATAACCACAGAAAAGGCATGTTTCTGTGGTCCCATAAGATGACAAGATTTAAAAGAAAGAACTTGGAGATGCCCTCCCTGTTGGATCAAGTTGTGTGGACAGATGTTCTTGGGAGAAGAAAGCAGTCATTCAAGTAACTGGCCCCATGACATGTAAGGTTTTAAAGGTGACACATAGCATTTTGAAACTCACCCAGAAGCTTATTAGAAACCAATGCAGCTCACCAAGTAGTGCTGTTACATTGGCATAATGAGTTGTGCATAATGTGTTAACTACCCACGACTCTGCATCCTGGACCAAGTAAAACATCTGGGTGGTCTTCAAGAGCAGCCTCCATATAGAGTGCACTGCCACAGACCAACAGGGCTGATCTGTAGAAATCATGGTGAAAAAACTATGCAAAAAAAGAAAAAAATGGTATCTATAATGAAATTCTTAATGATATCATTCTGTTTTGATTGTTGTTGTTTAAACCTTTGATTTTTATGAACCCAGAATTTTGTAATTGTATTTAATATTTACCTAAAATATTTGCCATATTGAGTTATGGCTATGGCTTAAATCTAAAGATCTTATTTTATCAAAGATAATTCCACTTGCAAGGGGAATACATTTTATCTTTCATTTGAATTCTCCTGCACCCCTCAAACCAACATTTTAATATCCTCCTTGGAACAAAAAAAAAATTATGGGCATCATTTTTATGACCCTCTTCATGTGACTGAAGTGCAGCAGCCCTTTTAATGCAGGGCATATTCCCAGGCTGTCTTCTGACAAGAAATATTTTCTGAACTGCAGGATCGAAAGCTGACAAAAATGGAACGGCAAAGATTTAAAGAAGAAGCGGAAATGTTGAAAGGTCTTCAGCACCCAAATATTGTTAGGTTTTATGATTTTTGGGAGTCGTGTTTAAAGGGAAAAAGGTGTATTGTGCTGGTAACAGAACTGATGACCTCCGGAACTCTGAAAACGTAAGTACTAATTACGTCATGACATGATAATTAGTTAAGTAGAACATCTGTAGAGACAAAAGTTCTTGGTTACATCCCTAACCCTCTTAAGAATGGAAATCTATCTTCCTTCTTTATAATAACATGCCTGACTATTTCACATTAAACCAATTGAATTTCAAAATTGAATTTCATTTCTGTTATTTTCTCTATTGTTTTCTTCTGTGACTACCCACAGTTCTGCTTGTATTTTCTCTTCCTTTCTTTGTTTTACTTGGGTAATTTTGAACCTCTTGGTTAATCTTTCCCAAAATAGATAACATTATTAAGCTATAATCAAATAATCTTCCACCAATGAGAAGGAAAACACTTCAAATTAACATGCTTGAATAATTAATCTGAAACATCATGCTTTATTATCTTACTGAATTTAATATTACCAATGGCAAAATAGCCTTTTTCAATATTTGTAAGAATCTTCTGTATGTTTTTTCCACTTTATGAATAATTTCAAGTTTCAAATCTGAAGCACTATTGGTGATCAACTATATGCCAATATACCTATAGTTTCAGTGCACACGTAGAGTTTTGCATAAAGAAGTATCACCATAGAATTGTAATTCATAGCTTTTAAAGGCAGATTAGGATTTAAATGAATTTATTCATAATTTACCTTCCAAACTATCCTCCTCTTAAATTAGGAATTCATTTGAGTGTGCTTGGCTGAAGGCTGAATCAGATAAGTCTAATTGCAAGAGGTAGATTGCTTACAAAGTGCTCAAACTGACCTGGAAAGTGTCATGAATGTTTAAGGACCTTGTTGTACTGCAGAAATGCAGATATTGTCTACAAGCAGAATCTCAGTGCATCTGTTTTTCTCTAAAATAATTTTATTCCATCTCATATGTTTTTATTTTAGCTATTTGAAGAGATTTAAAGTGATGAAACCAAAAGTTCTTCGTAGCTGGTGTCGGCAAATCCTAAAAGGTCTTCTTTTTCTGCACACTCGAACACCACCAATTATTCATAGAGATTTAAAATGTGACAATATTTTTATAACTGGGCCAACTGGATCTGTGAAGATAGGAGATTTGGGTCTGGCAACTCTTAAGAGAACTTCATTTGCCAAAAGTGTCATAGGTAAGCATGACATGACATGACATGACATAACAGAATTGGAAGGGACCTTGGAGGTCTTCTAGTCCAACCCCCAGCTCAAACAGAAAACCCTATGTCATTTCAGACAAATGGCTGTCCCATCTCTTCTTGAAAACCTCCATATTTTATTTACATCACCATTCTTTATTGAAAATGGATGAATAGTATAGAGCCACAAAACAATCGGCCCATGTTTTGTTTTCACTGGCAATGCTAAATCTTTGCCTCATACATTCTTCCAAAATTAGTAAAATTTCAACAAGGTTATTTTTTCTTAATCTGCAATTTTATAATGTATTGACTATTATATACATATGAACATGAATTATAATTTATTTTTGTTTAGAAGTTTATGCTTACAGTGGATGTAATATATAAATAAATAAACTTACTTAACAAGCAGTAACATCTTATACCAAACTAAATCAAGATGGGATTATTTTATTTCCCTCCCCCCCTCCCATGCTTTCCTCTTTCTCAATCATGTATCACATGATCAAGATCATGTTTTTCCCCCTCTAGGAGTGCACTGCTCTCTTCTCTTTCCCAAGGCAAAGAGTGCATTTATACCATCCTGAATTCTGACTTCCAATTTCCTTATGGAAATCTATAGCTCAGGGATTTGCCACAAAGCATAAACAGAAGTAGGGCATCTGTTTTCAAACTTGGATTCAAAGTTTAGTATCTCTCTTGAGATTTCAAACATAAGACTTTGGCATTCTTACGTTAGATCAAAAAAGATATTAAATCAACTTCATAGGATATTTGATGAACTTTTCAAATTCCAGATATTTTTTCAAAAAACATGATGATTCCTATGTCATTGCAAAAATTATGCAATAATTTGGACCTGAAAATATTTTGAAGTCTTAGTCTAGTTGTTTATTGGGCTTCAAGGTATTATTTGAATTAATATTGCCTGGGAGAAGGGGGCACAAGATTGTAGAAAATTGTCTTTCTGTGAATTGAACATTTCTGCATATAGAATGATGCCTTTAGGTTCCACCCAATATTCCATCTAACTATCTGTATTACTAATTTCAGTTTAAAATACAGAAGTTTCTTTGAGTTTTATATTCATGCATAGAATGTTCTCTTTTAAATGTACTTTTCTCTTGTTGATGCTCGATCTACAAATATGTTTTCTAAGATGGATTCCTTTTGTTCTGTTCAGGTACTCCGGAATTTATGGCCCCAGAAATGTATGAAGAACACTATGATGAATCAGTGGATGTATATGCTTTTGGAATGTGTATGTTGGAAATGGCTACCTCAGAATATCCATATTCAGAATGCCAGAATGCTGCTCAAATTTACAGGAAAGTAACCTCTGTAAGTAATATTTTTAATATAATCATTTTGCACTTTCATTTACACTGTTTTTCCTAATTTTAACATTGTAAGCTCTGATATACTATTGTATGACATATAACTTTAATAAAAGTATTGTTGAAATGATTCTTAAATTCTCAACGTTATTATTATGTTGAATACATTGTCTTATTTAGGTCTTATATTTTCTGGCGAGAAGAAATGATTTTAAGACTAGGGTTGAGGTAATTCTGCGTATTCTCTCCTTTCTCATCCCCATCCCAGCCATTCTCTTCAAAACGTTATTGGCATCAATGTTTTTCAGATTTGCTCAGTTTCACATTTTACTAATGTCATGTTTTGTTACTTGTTTCAGTGTTAATTTATAAAAATTCTACATGCAAATTGTTTCTACTTCCTTCTTTAATATTTATTTTTTTTAAATGTACAAACTGCATTATAACATTTTGAATAGTGAAGAGTGTGGCACTTTATCAAATGCAAACTGATTGTATAATATATTTTTGGGGAAAATATTTTCTATCCTCCAGGCATCAAATTTATTTCTTAAGAATGCTTCTCTGAATACCATATAGAACTCTGGCATTTCTAAAAAATAAGGTGACACCCAGGGATATACCCGATATGATATAAAGATAGAGCAATACCTTCTTAGTTTGTCACTAGAAGATAGTGTACATGTGTGATTTGTGTAAATTTTATATACAGTTTCTTGTACTTTTGGAAGTTTGCTTGCACTGTATACTTACAATGGTTAATGGATATATTTGTATGAATTTCTTTTTATAATATCTTTATTTTTATAAATAAGGTAGCAAACATAACTAATGGTCCTTCTCCTTCCTATTTTCCCCACAACAACAACCCTGTGGGGTGAGTTGGGCTGAGAGAGAAAGAGAAGGAGACTATGCTTAAGGCAGGACTACAACTCACAGTCTCCTGGTTTCTAGCCTGGTATCTTAATCACTAGACCAAACTGGCTCTAGGCATTGGTATGAATGCCTGTCAATTTGCTTTTGCCTATAACATCACTTACAGCTCTGTGCATTATTCTGGTTCTGCATAACATTGACCCATTTATCTTCTTTTGTTCAGCTACAGTTGCTACTAAATCTCCTTGGTATTGATCTGGCATGTGAACTAAGGGGGGTGGGTTTACTTTGTTCTTTTACCTTGGTGTGTTCTTGATATTAAACTGAATGAATTGTATTCAGGCTTCATTATTTTATGCTCAAATCAGTGATGCCTCATGAAATCAGGATTGATTCAGCCACTGATTTAAGTGAACTAATTTATTTGGGATCCACTCTATTATATTAAATATGAATATATAAAGAGTGGTGGAGAAAATTCATATAGCTTATTCAGCAAACATTCCTGCCAATATTATGTGCTTCTGTATATGTACACAGATCTTTTTACTACTAGCATGTTTTTTTTTGGGTGGGGGGAGGAAATATTGGAACGAAACTGTATTGTCGGGTTTAAGATCAAACATGAATTGTGGAACCTATCTATTTTTCAATTGATAGAAAGCTGAAACGTGTGAACACAGATTCACTAGTACAAGTTCTTACAGCTCAGTGTTTTGTTTTGATATGTGTCAAGATTATATTTGTCACAGGTTGCATATTTATTGTGTCATTTGTTTTTGAATGTTGACATAGCAAAATGCATGAAAAAGCTTCTTTCAGAGGCTGATTGGGACAGAAATTGGCCTCAGTGGAAGAAGTTAAGAACTTTTAAACTTTGTAATACACAATTACAGCTATTTATTGCTTTTTCATTTAAAAAAGGACATCAGGAGACCATCATAGATGTCTTTCCACAAACTTTTAATTGGATCCTTTACCTTACCTACACCTGAAATAGAATGATAATATTTGTTTGTCATGCCAATCTAATGTAAGGATTACTGAAGAAATGGATTACTAATCCATTCAGATGGAAATCCATTTAGCAGAGTTCACAGAGGGAGTCAAAAAATGTCAAGATTTGTCTAAAACATGCACAAGGCTTTGAGCTCATAGTTTTTGAGACCTTTCCCCTTTCCCCCAAGATACTGTTATTTATTTGCAGCAGCAGAATAGAATCCTCTTCCTCTAAAATCCAGGCACAACCTCAACATTGCTTTGCAAATTTGAGGGACCTTGTTGAGGAGATTATGGAAACAAGCTACAGAACAAGGAGATACAGAACATTGCTTTGTATGTCCCTTACAAAAATTGGCTGTTGTCCTTATATTGTAGGAAGAATGCACTACGAACATTCCAATTATTCTATTTCTCTTTCAACACAGTCTTTGTCTCTAGTTGGTACATTTTGTTAATATTTTTTGTTACGTTTGTGCCTGATTCTTATTTAATATCCTTCGTAAATAGCCTAGAATGGAACTCTTTCATTAAATGATTAAATGTTCAGGAAACAAATAAGCTTTCCAAGTGTAAAATAACTATCCTATGCCTGTCCTTTCATGCACTAAATTCTTAATCCTAAATTCACTGTTTTTGGGGAAAGTACTGTTATTTTATAAAGCATCATGTGATATGGCACATATTTCCCAAGCTTGATTATCAGAACTATTCATGTAGTTATGTGCTTTGCTTTCCTACAAGGTTAGTGGGGAAAGACACAAAGCCCCAGCTGACCAATCGTGTTACATAAGCACAGTTTGCATCAGCTATTTTGTAAGGAATTGTGTTAAATCCTTAATATGTACAAAGTTTAATTTACATCATTCATATGTATTACTATGCTTACTTTAAAAAGTTAATCAAGGACAGACTAAGAAGATTGGTATAAGAGAGTTCAGAATGATGAAGTTTTCTGGGAGAATTTAACCTGTAATTAAAATGAATGTATGTCTTATCTAATTTATTAATTAAATTATAAATTAGTCATAAATTAATCAATTCATATGCCTCCTAAAGCTCAATATGAGAGCCATATAAACTAGGACACAATGTATTCTAGTCATACCTTGGATACAAAGTCAGCTGAGTGACCTTGGGCCAGTCACTTTTCTCAGCCCTAGAAAAGCGACAATGACAAAATACTTCTGAAAAACCTTGCCAAGAAAACTACAAGGGCTTGTCCAGGCAGTTTCTGAGAATCAAACACAATTGAACAGACTTAAACAAAAGAGCTTGATATAGGTGTCTTATTGAGGGATTAAGAAATTATAACCATACTTTTCTTTCCTATTATAGCAACAGATAGGACTCAAAACATCCTCCAGAACTGTGGCCTTAATTGTCATTTTTACTGACCTCCCATGATGTCTAATTGGCCAGTTTATGACATTTGCTCAACTGTACTGCCAAAAATACATCAGTGGAAGAAACCAAATGCTAATCTCTACCATCTAACTTCTCTAGATGGCTTTATTGGTTTATCTAAAACAAGTACATCTTCCCACAGTTATTTGTGTAGCATGGATTACCTTTTGCTGCTTAACACTTCATTAAATGAATAACTTGTACAATACTTTTTCATTGGTTCTCAGGTTAAAATGGTACCATAGTTCTTAGATTTTTTTTTTTATCAAAGTACATTTTAACCTTCTGAAAGTATAATGAATTGTTCCTCTTTGGTAAAATAAGATATGTATAACCTAAAATGGTACAAGGCAGAGACAATCTTTTTGGCAACTATTTCAGTCTTTAGATCCATGTTTTTTTCCGCAATTTGTTTTCATGCCTCAATCACTCATAGCTAAGGGCATTTTGTGGAATGTATAGATGAGAAAATCTTAAGAGTAATGGCACCAACTCAAATAATGCCTCAAATATACCTTGAATAGCGGTTACTTCCATGCCTGCTTTGGATAGATGGCCTTGGACTTGCTGCCTGAAAGTGAATGAGAGCTCTTTCAATTCTAAATGCCAATCTCTTCAAGAGCATTGTTTTATTTTTATTTACAGCATTTATGGGGCAGTGTTATCTATATCAGAGACCTCCAACCTTTGCAACTTTAAGCCTGGTGGACTTCAGTTGCCATGGGGAATCCTGGGAGTTGGTCCACCAGGCTTAAAGTTGCCAGGGTTGGAGACCCCTGATCTACAGGATGGAGTGTTTAAAATACATGTTAGTAATGCTTTTTGATAGTTAAAATAAGACCCAACCTTAAAAGTACTATTAATTACAAGCAGGAGTGGAATTCAAATTTCTTAACAACCGGTTCTTTGGGCATGGCATAATTTGTGGGTGTGGCTTTGTGGGCATGTGACTGGGTGGATGTGGCTTGCTGACTGGGGGTGGCTTGGTGCTCACGTGACTGGCTGGGTGTGGCTTGTATATAAATATTGTATTTATGTAAATATTGAATTTTTTAATTAAAAAAGAGCAACTTTTACCCAAAATCAGGCAAAGCACATTGAGTTGCTTGCAGAATCACAGATTCACTCGCAGATCTACCTTTCTGCTATCTGCTTTCTGAGTCTGCACTGAAAAATAGAAGCTTCCGTCCTAAGGAAGGTTCAGCTCTACTCTCAGGCCACTTCTCCCCCAACCCACTGAATACCACCCCTGACTAGGCTTCAGGGAAGCCTCCTGGGTGAAGGCAAAGCAGTACAACAGTGATTTAGATTAGCTAGAAAGCAAGAAATCTGACAGGGGAGGGGAGGGGCCAGCCAGTGGCGCAATTTGTTGGTTCTCCAAACTTCACAGAATCATAACAGCTGGTTCTATAGAACTGATCCGAACTGATAGAATCCCACCCCTGATTACAAGACATGAAAACCAATTTGTAGATTAAAGAATAAAGTTTAAGAGTCTTAAGGTATCCAAATAATCCTTTTAGGTCCTCATCCCTCAACCTTAGAGATGGACCCATTAACCAATTAGTATTGGATTGGCAGATACTAAGAAATACCTGGTCTGTAGACTAGATTAGGTTAATTAGGAAAATGTTCCAGAAGGTAAGTATTTGCATATTACGGTCATGAAAATTATATGAAAATATCCATAGATTCACCTGGAGTTGAGCTCCAGTGAAAGAATCAAAATGGGTGTCTTAAGTCTATGCCAGACATAAGGTATTCACTTCCTTTCTTAAAATATCCCAACAACATAAAAAGGGGTGAAAAATAATTATACTTATTAAAACTATTCAAGGGAAATTTTTAGAAATAGAATAAAGTTTTCTATTTCAATTTCTTTACCTCACTAGAAAAAGATTCTTTTTCCATTTTCAATATGCGTAAAAATATTGCCTTAAATATCTTATTTCTTCTTGGGATTTTAAATTTGCTATTGAGAATCCTTAAAGCTCATATCTTGTAACTGTCAGCAGGTGAAAATGTTTTTCTAAGACATTCACAAACTTCAATTAGAGTGAAAACTTGGTTATCTTACAGTGTTGCTGTTTTCTTTTTTGTAGAATAGAAATCTGTAAGGATTACCTTTAAATTTGGGGCAAAACCATAAGAGACACTATTTTACACTATCTATTCCTTATTTTAAAGCGGACTGTATACTAGAACAGTATCAAAATATTATAAAAATCTATTAGCTAATTAGAAAAGCTGCTCTGAAACCTCAAAAGTTGAGGGATAATTAAAATAAACAGTTAACTGATAAATTAATTTGTTTAAACAAAACTTGGGGAAAAAACCTTGATGTTGATCTTTCTGGAACAGAATCCCAGAAGCCTAGGATAGTTCAATTTTCCCCTCCCAAGATCTTTAATATTAAAATTCATAATAAAAGTTAATGCTGACTTTAGCTTTGTTATATCATATATAATGGTCTATTGTATATTAGATTACATAAGAGTCCTAATTTAAACTCAAAGCTGTGTAGATCTAGAATTAAGATGCCAGATAAATTTAATTATGTTTTTTTTTCCTCATGCAGGGTGTCAAACCAGCAAGTTTTGATAAAGTTACTGATCCTGAAATTAAGGAGATAATTGGAGAGTGTATTTGCAAAAATAAAGAAGAGAGGTTTGTTTCAAATAATAAATTTATGTTGTTTGTGAAACAGGTCATAAACCTGAGCTCATTTCAAAGTAATTCCTTGGGGTGGAGGCAGAAAACTGACAAGAGCTGGCTAGTACCATTTTAAACTGATAGCTCTACTACCGGTATAATCTAGTCATGTAGATCTCTTAGGATAGTTACTAGCTAAATAGAAACTAATATGGTTACTATGGGCACATGGATCAGTACCTATTTGGAATCTGGTTAGTGTGACTATATTCCTGTGAATTTTGAGGACTTCTCAGCAAATTTTAACACTTTCAGTCAGAATGTCCTTCTGGACTATATCTATAAACAGAGCAGTATGAGACTTACTTCAGGTACACATTTCATATTTGTATTCTTATTTATAAACTTTATACAGTGCCCATCTCACCTGCAATCTGGGTGATTTACAAATAAAAGCCATATAGCCATATAAAAAGAGAGAAAGTTAGAAGCAAAGTTTTAAAAAACAAAATTAAAATAAAGATTAATGGTAAAAAAAAAAAAGGCAAGGGGGTATCCTCATGCCACCAACCATCCCTATGGTTGCATACCACTCTTGAACCGCCATGCCAGCTGGCAGAGCTGGGTCTTGACACCCTTCCAGAAGACCAGAAGGATGGCACTCTATCTCACTTCTGGGAGCAACAGTAATAAAGAAGACTCGCATCCTTGACCCTGCCAGTCAAAATTCTTTAATTAATGGGGTCTGCAACAAACCCTCTCTGTCTCACTAGGTGGGACAGGTCGATCTTATTGGGACAGGATGGTTCCTCAGATAACCAGGCCCACACTATGAAGGACTTTAAAAGACTTTAAAAATCAATACCTTGAATTTGACCAGGAAATAAAGTGGCATCCAATGCAGCTCACATAGTAGAGGTGTTACATGTGCAACCCTTGGGGTGCCCAGAACTGCCCATGCTACTGCATCAATTACAGCTTCTAGATACTCTTCAAGGGAAGCACATTGTACAGCATATTACAGAAATCCATACAGAAGGTGGCTAAGCCATGAGTGATCAAAAGAAAGGTTTCTCAATCCAGGTAAGTTCCAGAAAATGGTACATGGCGATTTATATTTGACAAGTAGCTATTGGATGCAGTATCTCACAAGATTCTTCTTTTAATCCTTCTACAATTTTAAACCTTACATTTATATATTTAATTAAACTTAATAAAAAAAGAAAAAAGCATGAAAAAGAAAACACACACACAAATATACAGTATATGTGGGGGCTGGGGTGGGTGAGTGGGTGGGTTTCTTTCATGTATACAAAGTTTTACATAACCGATTCAATAAAAGTTGCTTAACCACAGAAGCAGATCATTCAGACAGTTGAAATTGATACCATCGTTATGTTGGTGATATCCAGCTTTATTCTTTTCCATCAAATTTCAGAGACATTGTGGGAATCCTAAATCAATATTTAGGATTTGTAAAAGATTAGATGAAGACTAACAAGTGGAAGCTGAGAGTGTATTGAATAAGGGATTGCCTAGTCAAATAAAAATATTGCATAACTGTCAGATTTGTACGGAGTGTAACATTTTAATAGTCAGCCTGACAGCTTTAAAGTTCCTGATTTGACTTTCACCTAAATGTTAGGTAGTAGCTGCATCTAGGAGTACACCACCCCGCTGCACATGCTCCTAAAGAAAGCAGAGTTGCATGGTTTAGTTATTTTTCATTTGGATTCTAGAAATATTTATATGGGATTTATCTTTTTAAAAAATAGCACGAACTAACTACATCTAACTGGTTTTTTGCTTGTTTTAATCTATTAGTTTTCTGGGTTAGTTTTCTGTGCAGTCTGGCTTTTTAATACATTTATCACCCATTCCTACTATCAGGTCTAGTTGTGGTGGTTGCATTCAGGCTTCCTTAATGAATTTTATATGCAATGCTGCATCTGAATTATGCAGATTCTTAGCTCATCATGAATGAACATTATGCTAATGTAAACAGATCCTATACCAACATTGGTTACTAGATGGTTAACATGCAAGGAATGCTATGCTAAAAGAGAGTTTCAGAATAGTTTATCTATGCCCATTGATGGGAGAAAAAACGGTGAGGGGGAAAGTATCTAAAAAGTATAAATAGGGTCTGATATGTTTCAGACAAATACTTTTTTCAAGAACATTGTACAAAACAAACACACAAATTTGAAAAGGTATAGTTAAGTGTTTTAACTCTCTGTTAGCCACAAATGGCAAATGGGCAGCCATTGAAATTGAAATAAAAAAACTAATAAAAATAAACAAATGGTGTGATGTTTATTATACCACACATTTAGCAGTTGCTATAGAAACACTTGCTATTTTGCTACTATGATTTAAAAATCTTTGTGTTAAATATTATAGATAATGAAAGCAAATTTTGAGTTGCTCTTTCATTAAAACTTAAAAAGACATAGAGTGCCAAGAAAGTTCTAATACATATATTCTAATATATATGTGTGTATTATCAACAGTAATACTAAAATAATACACAGCTAATTGGTCCTTAAAGAATAGAGGAGAAAAATGGACTTAATATCTGTTGTGTGCTTTTTTCCCCCCAGATATGAAATTAAAGATTTATTAAGCCATGCCTTCTTTGCTGAGGATACTGGGGTGAGAGTGGAACTTGCAGAAGAAGACGATGGTAGAAAATCCTCTATTGCCTTAAGACTCTGGGTAGAAGATGCTAAGAAATTGAAAGGGAAGTCCAAAGATAATGGAGCCATTGAGTTTACTTTTGAACTGGAGAAAGAAACTCCAGATGATGTTGCACAAGAAATGGTAAAATAAACTTCCCTTAACACTCTTCACCCTCCCGCCTCTCTCTGTCCCTTCCTCCCTCTCCCTCCCTCCCTCCCTCTCTCTCTCCGTGCGTTGTATCTATGTAATATAAATCTCAAATACCATCCTAGGCAAACTTTAAAAAGTAAATTTGATTCCAAAGATACAGCACAAACTATCCTCAAAAGCCATAAATGGATCCACAGAAATGAAGTACAGTAATTTATCATCAAAACACATTATTTCAAAAACTGATATAAATTTTGATTAGCACTCATTAAGTTGCATAACTTGAAGTTTTGCAAATTATGTTTCTAATGTATGTAAGAATGTGGAGTAGAATTTGAACCATTTTCTTTCTTTGTGCAGTAAGATAAGTTATATATCATATACACTGCTCAAAAAAATAAAGGGAACACAAAAATAAGACATCCTAGATCTGAATGAATGAAATATTCTTATTAAATACTTTGTTCATTACACAGTTGAATGTGCTGACAACAAAATCACACAAAAATTATCAATGGAAATCAAATTTAGCAACCCATGGAGGTCTGGATTTAGAGTTACACTCAAAATTAAAGTGGAAAAAAACACTACAGGCTGATCCAACTTTGATGTAATGTCCTTAAAACAAGTCAAAATGAGGCTCAGTAGAGTGTGCGGCCTCCACGTGCCTGTATGACCTCCCTGGGCATGCTCCTGATGAGCTGGCAGATGGTCTCCTGAAGGATCTCCTCCCATACCTGGACTAAAGCATCCCCCAACTCCTGGACGGTCTGTGGTAGAACATGGCATTGGTGGATGGAGCGAGACATGATGTCCCAGATGTGCTCAATTGGATTCAGGTCTGGGGAACGGGCGGGCCAGTCCATAGCATCAATGCCTTCGTCTTGCAGGAACTGCTGACACACTCCAGCCACATGAGGTCTAGCATTGTCTTGTAGTAGGAGGAACCCAGGACCAACCACACCAGCATATGGTCTCACAAGGGGTCTGAGGATCTCATCTCGGTACCTAATGGCAGTCAGGCTACCTCTAGTGAGCACTTGGAGGGCTGTGCGGCCCCCTAAAGAAATGCCACCCCACACCATTACTGACCCACTGCCAAACCGGTCATGGTGGAGGATGTTGCAGGCAGCAGAACGTTCTCCACAGTGTCTCCAGACCCTGTCACATCTGTCACACATGCTCAGTGTGAACCTGCTTTCATCTGTGAAGAGCACAGGGCACCAGTGGCGAATTTGCCAATCTTGGTGTTCTCTGGCAAATGCCAAACATCCTGCACGGTGTTGGGCTGTAAGCACAACCCCCACCTGTGGACATCGGGCCCTCATACCACCCTCATGGAGTCTGTTTCTGACTGTTTGAGCAGCCACGTGCACATTTGTGGCCCGCTGGAGGTCATTTTGCAGGGCTCTGGCAGTGCTCCTCCTGTCCCTCCTTGCACAAAGGCGGAGGTAGCGGTCCTGATGCTGGGTTGTTGCCCTCCTATGGCCTCCTCCCCGTCTCCTGATGTACTGGCCTGTCTCCTGGTAGCGCTTCCATGCTCTGGAGACTACGCTGACAGACACAGCAAAACGTCTTGCTACAGCTCGCATTGATGTGCCATCCTGGATGAGCTGCACTACCTGAGCCACTTGTGTGGACTGTAGACTCCGTCTCATGCTACCACTAGAGTGAAAGCCCTGCCAGCATTCAAAAGTGACCAAACCATCAGCCAGAAAGCATAGGAACTGAGAAGTGGTCTGTGGTCACCACCTGCAGAACCACTCCTTTACTGGGGATGTCTTGCTAACTGCCTCTGCTTTGTACCTGTTGTCTATTCCATTTGCACAACAGCATGTGAAATTGATTGTCAATCAGTGTTGCTACCTAAGTGGACAGTTTGATGTCACAGAAGTGTGATTGCCTTGGAGTTACATTGTTTTGTTTAAGTGTTCCCTTTATTATTTTGAGCAGTGTATCTGCGGCCTGGTTGCAATCCCCTCACAGCCGCAGCCCACACATTGGGGACCTCTGCTTTACAGAACTTTCTGGGCGGTTTACAATGTCCGCATATCTGGGTACTTATTTTACCAACCTTGGAAGGATGGAAGGCTGAGTCAACCTTGAGCTGGTCAGGATCATACTCCAGGCTATGGGCAGAATTAGCTTGCAGTACAGTATTGCATTGCAATCACTGTGCCAGGGTATTTGGACATAGCTGCCTATCATTTTGAAAAACTAAATTTACATGCTTGAAATATATTATAGAAGCTTCTTTCTGAAAAATTGCTTTTCTTTGCATTGCAAATGAGAAATTTCATATTTGGTTTATTCATGAAGCAGACGAGATTACTGTGTATGATTTTGATGCCAGCTATGACTGGTTTTAATTATTTCTAAAAATGCCCCCCTCCCTTTCACCATCTGTTACATTTGGATTAAAAAAAATCCCCACTTATTTTGTATAAAGTTCTAGGAATATATAAAATATTTAAAATATATAAAAATATTTAAAATTTCTCCAATAGTGATACAGACAATAACTATTCATAGCCAATGATGACTAATAAAAATATTTATGACAATTGATTATAGTTTTGCAATTCCTTCTCTGCTTTATAAAAAATATTTCAGATACAACTTGAATTATTTTTGAAAATAATTTTATCAACAAAAACCTTGGATCTCTAGATACTATATTTAATTCTAAACAATATTTCTGCAAACTAATCAGCCACACATATACAAAACCTCCGACTGGTGATTTAGAATCTGTAGCACACTACTCAGTTACTAAAAGTGGTAATGGAGTGGGCATGTGGGGCACCATGATGTGAAAATACAGTCAAAATATGGATTTGAAAATCTTTTTATTTCAGGTTGATGCCGGATTCTTTCATGAAAGTGATGTCAAAACAATTGCAAAATCAATACGTGACAGAGTAGCCTTAATACAGTGGAGAAGAGAGAGGATTCCCATGTTGCATTCAGAAGATCATTGGGACCCGGAAAGCTTAGAAAAAACAAAGGCCACACAAGCACAACCACTTCAGATTACACACCCTTCTCGTGCTGGTCATCAGATTCCATCAGAACCAGATGAGCCTGAAGTGGACCAGCAACTTTCTCAACAAAATCTGCCCACAAGCATTACTTCACTTGCATGTAAGTCCAGTATGTGCTCTTCGTTGGTATATAAGGATATAGTACAAATACATTGGATGTATTTGTACATGGATGTCACTGGCCCTGCTTGTGCACTGCAGTAAGCCAAAACTCTTCAGGATTCTGGTTTAGCAGGAACAGGTATGTTAATATAGACTCTTTAATAGCTCCTGCTTCATCTGGCTGATAGGAATAATTATCAAACATGGAGTATTCCATACCTAATTTGCTTAATAAGTCATCTGAATTTAGCATCTCTGTTTTTGTTGGCCTAACCAATTGGAACTTAATATGCACAAACTTCTTCCTACTATGCCAAAATTCTGAAGAATTCTAACTCTGATGAACTGATACAGCCAGGACTTTGGTTGCATGGACTTCGATAGGAACAAATAAATATATGCTGAATATATACAAGAACAATAAATATTTACTATATTTACTATATACAATAAACAATTTCTGTCTTGCTATGATTAGAATTGTGCCTAATTCAATTGGTTGTCATTCAACAATTTTAAAGCAGGGAAAAAAGACATTGGGAGGAAGTGAATTCCCCTGGGATTTGAGGGGAGACATTACCTTGCCAGTTCACAAGTAAAGGCTCTTCTCCCTCCTTCTTTATGGTAGCCATGTGGTGATCATACCATTGTAAGAAATGGGAAGACAGAGGACATACCCTCATGTGGTGGTGGTTAAAAAAGACCATCGACCATTCTTTGACACATTAATATAGCCAACTCTTTAAACTGTATTGAATTTTTCTTCTAAAATAAGCTAATTATGCTCACTAATCATGCCAACTAGTGTTGGTAGGACTGCTCACTGTGTATGAAAGTGTGCCAACATGTATTTTGACTGAGGAAATGCTGTTTCAAGTCAAGATAATAATTACAAATTTTCTTATGCTATATTAGTAGAAATATTTAAAGACTCTGAGACCGCTGATTGAAGACTTACATATATTTTACTTACATTAGATAAAAATTAAAGTCTCTGTTTTATAGCGAAAAAACTATAACCATATTAATAAATATTGTTTTATAGTTTTATAAAGAATAAAAATAATAACTATATTATTTTAAAAATAATATTTTTTCTGAGTTTCTAGTCTCAATTGTTTCTTTCAGCACTGTAAAGTTTTGATATCATATGTTGTTTCAATGCTTGCACAATGTTTTAAAGTCTAAAAGCCCTATAAATAATTTCCTTGATGCTGCTGGTGATATTCAAATACAGAAGAAATGTACATAAATAATTTAGCATCTGTGTACAACAGATGATAACAGAATCCAAGTTTGGCTTCCAACTGCTGCTTTAGCTTTGTAGAGATGTCTTCATTTTTGTGGTTAGATAATTCTTATAATTAGATTATATTTTCCTATTCTATAAACATCTCTACATTATTAAGTATCTAACGCCCCCCCCCCCCCAATAAACTTAGATAAGTAAAATTGAAAGGAGTTATTGTTTTCTAAATTTGGAAAGATGATAAAGTAGACATGGGTGAATTTTCATCAGTGAAAGATTGATTGAAAAATCCAGAAATGAATTTTCCAAACACAAATGACATGAACTTTCCCAAAATGTAGCCTATGCGCAACACATTTTTAATATTCTTAAGTAATAGCAGCAGGAAGCAGTGCTTTACACTTTACATCATTTGTTATTTTATAGAAACAGGTATAATAATGTCCAAATTATTTTATTTGGTAGAATATGGGGGATACACTTACTATTTAACCTTACTAGAAGTATACAAAATAAAAACAAGTTCATTTATATACTTTAGCAAACTTAGACATTGTCTAGTGGCATTTTTTAATGTGGGCCACTTTCAGTGGTCCTGTGGTGCTTCATTATTCTCTCCTGGAAGGAAAGCATAAATATCCAGAATGTCAAATAAGTCATGCTGACTACCACCCCTGCTCAATGGGGGGTGTATCCTGCTGGAGGTGGTTGATGTTTTAAGAGAAGTCCCACCTCCCCTCAGGCATGCTGTTCCCTTTTTCCCCATCCTTTTCATTGTAATTTTTACAGTTATTAGAAATATGTTTATGGTTTTATTGGCTTTTAATGTAAGTCAAATCTTACTCTCTAGGCGAGATGGGTGGCAAACAAATCTAAAAAATAAATAAAATAAATGAAAAATTCAAATTACTACTGTAATATAAACAGCTTGGCAATATCAGTCTGAATGGCGCTTTGAAACTCACTAACAAATATTTGGTAGAAATAGACTACAGCCACAAATTGACTTACAGCCACAATTTATGTTGCTAAGTGAGAAATTTGTTAGGTAAGTTTTGTCCCATTCTACTACTTTTCTTGCCACATTTGTTAAGTGAATCACTTTTAAGTTAGTAACATAATTGTTAAGTGAACCTGGCTTACCCAGATTGACTATGCTTGACAGAAGGTTGCAAAAGGTGATCACTTGACCCCAGGACACTGCAACCACAATAACAATTGTCAAGCTTCTGAATTTTAATTATGCGACCTTGGGGATGCTGCAACAGCCATAAGTGTGAAAAATGGTCAAAAGTCACTATTTTCCGTGCCGTTGTAACTTCAAACGGTCACTAAACGAACTGTTGTAAATCTATAACTACCTGTACAGCATTGTTTTGTGTGTGCATATCTTTGAATCAGTGTTATCTCCTGGCAAATGTCTGGACTAATCTCTGCAGTTTTCTTGGCAATGCAGTCTCTGCAGATTTTTGGAAATAGCTTTTGCCTAGGGCTAAGAGAGAGTGGTCCAAAATTACCCAGCTGACTGTATGCCTAAGGTGGGACTAGAACTCACAGCTTTCTGCCTTAACCACTGCACCAAACAGTCTCTCAATGTTACATTTACCAGTGAAAATTTAGACTGCAGATCGTGATAAATTCTTATGAAAATTTCAACATTTGTAGAAAGAAATACAGACTGCCAATTGTTCAAAATTTCTCCAGTCCACCATGTCTGCATTTTATATTTCCCCAAAGGCTTGTCTCCCAAGATACAGTTAGATACAGTTGGGAACAACTCATTTATATTTATGGATTTGGTTTAGATTCTTTTGTTTCAACCTTTGAAATTTAACGCTTAAACAGAAAAAAACAACAACCATCCTGTGGTTTTAAATCTGTTCAGAAAGTGAAGTGAATCCCCTGCCAGTCTACGCCAAGGGTTGCTAAGTGGTTTCAATTACACAAATTCCCATTTCCTTCCTGCAGCCATTTTGAAGCGTTATGTAAATCTCTTTATCAATTTCTAATTTTGACGATGGGAAAATACCCCCCCCCCCCCGGTGCATCATGCACCAGATCTGATTCATTATTGATTCAGATTGACTGACTTCTGGAGTATTCTGGACCTTACACAACAAGCTATTTCTAAAGTTCCAAATTAAGATCTCGAGTATGATAGGGTGGCCTTTGTACTCTCCAGTGCGAGTAATGCTTTTAAGTGCTTTCAGTTTATGAATCCGTTCACGTTTTTTAAAAATCAATATTAACAATATTTCAGCCGATAGCACATTTGACAGTGGTCAAGGATCAACTGTGTACTCAGACTCCCAGAGTAGCCAGCAAAGTGTGATCTACTCTTCGGTTCCTGATGCAATAACTCCAGCTGTTCAGCGTGTTTATAGCCCACCTCTCAGTGAGAGCCAGACTTTGCCACATGGTCTTCAGCAGATAGGGCCCTACCAGCAACCTTCAGTAGTAAGTATGGTCTTCTTCAATTTTCACATATGAATTTTGAAAAAGGATTAAATAACTGCATAACCTCGGAAGTCTGTATAGCTAATCATTTTCCTTGATCATGTTCATACAGGTTATATGTATGGAGTCACAAAGATATATATGTTGGTTTACTTATTATTTTTTGTAATATGAAGCCAAAGGGGTGGAAAATCTATTTTAGAAACATTGTACATACAGATTCTGAAAGTTATTTCACTCTTGCTGTTTATATAGTCAATGACATATTTCTTCATATATTTTTTAATAGCATTTGGGGTCAGGTATTCTTTCGGCTGTGTTAAAAGACTTCTGCTTAGTACTTTTATAGTTCCTTCTCAGGATAGAATATTTTTCAAAGATGAAAAGTGGCTTGTGTTCTTGGAACTCCACAGTGTAAACCAGGTTATTTGGGAAGACCTTCATATTTTTCTCCTTGTCTGTTATAGTGACATTAACAGCAAACTAAATAGAATATCCTGGCAGGAAGAACCACAGGCAGTTGAATATAACCCTTCTGATTTTTCCAACAACAAAGATTGCACATGTCTCATATGTGCTTCTGCAGAAACTGCATTATGGCTTTGCTAAATCAGTAATTTTTGCCTCTGATGCAAAGCAGTACCTATAGTTGTTTCCATCATACTGACTCTACAATGTCAGGAAGCAAACTCAAAAATCAGTTCAAGAAAGAAAAAAATGCAAAGGAAGTGGATCATAGTTACCAGGATTACAGAAATCTTCACATTTTTGCCTGTTAAACCTAGTTGTCAAGAATGTAGGAAACAAGTTCTTTTTTGTTTTAAATATTAATCTCTAGAAACTGTTGAGTTGCTCCATTTTGAAGGAAAAGTAACATCCGGTGACACTCCAAAATGCATTCTTATTAAGAGCAGATACATTGTTCCCATAAATCCTATGAGTTTAATCTGCATATTCAAAAAATAACAGTAGCTATAAGATCTCTGTTTTCTTCTTCCATAATGCGATAGCCGTTCAATTGTATTTTGCCCCTGTGGGCATGCATGTGTTTATCCTGTTATTCCTACAGTGCCCTGGATATTTTTATTTTAATGAACATTGTCATAGCAATATATCTACTCAGTTATTCTGAACTATTAACATTAATTACTTGACTAAATAATTTGAACAACTATATGCTGACAGAATGATAAGGTATTTTGTGGAGAGTTTTTATAGGCAATATGTTTCTAAAGTAATGTCTTCCTACCTATCTTCCCAGCCTGGACTTCCAGTGGTTCAGGGTCCAACTGCTGTTGTGCCTCCGCGGCCACAACTTTATCCAGAACCAGCAATTCCATTTCCTATTGTCCATCCCACCTCAGTTGCCCCTGTGCAGATGAGACAACCTCAGCCTGTATTAATCAGCCAGCAGGTGAGAAATGATATGTTCTGCCTTTATCTTTCCCCTCCCCCTCCCCCCTTCAAAATATGCTCCTGGCAACTATTTAGAGAGGTTCTTGTTTTGGCAAGATTTTCAAAAGTCGTTTCCCATTGCTTCCTTCCTAGGGCCAAGAGAGAGTGATTGGCCCATGGTCAACCAGTGACTTCATGCCTTAGGCAGGATTAGAATTCACAGTCTTCAGGTTTCTAGCCTGTTGCCCTCACTGGCTCTCCTTTTGCCTTTTAGGTAACTGTTAAGCTAAAAACCACTATGTAACTTGCCTTATAGGCCTGATTGTCCATTTTATACTGTAATGGAAAGGTTTCTTAGCAAATTTTAAGTGCAGCAATGGATTAATGAGTAAATTAAAAAGTAGGACAGCAGCAGCATCTATGGTGGAATATCAAATCAAGAAGGCAGTTGTGATATAATTCTGCTAAATCCTGCTCCTTTTGTATTGTAAATGACAGTGCACACATGTACAAAGGGCAGGGCTTTGATTATGCTGCCACAACCATCACCTGGACTTTTAAAATCTCCCCTGTGGGTTGTAGGGCAACAGAGTAAGAAAGCTTTAATTTCTTTCTTCACCCTATAACAAACTCAAGATTAATTCCTGACCTCTTTTAAGTTTGTTTCTCTGAGTAGAAGAGATTGACCTCATTATTTGGACTTCTAAAAATGTTATTTCTATTATATATTCTCTTCGCCTGTCAACGGACAGTTTTATCATTTTCTGCCACTCCTTCTTATTATTTTATTTAAATAAAATTTATTGGGCTTATTTCACCAGTAGGTGAAAATGATCATGAGAAAGGGAGAAGTATCTAGCCATGGGCATAACATTATTTCCAAACAATGTTTAATTTCAGTTTGGGCATACATTTGCATAAGTAAATGTATCCAAATCAGCTTTGGAACAATTTATTTATTTCATTTATTTGACTTGTATGCAGCTTACAAACATACTAAAAGGTTAAAATAAGACAATAACAATAATAATAATAATCATCATCATCATCAATTGGAATATCGGGTTGCAATTTGATTTAAGAGTTTGGCTTTTTTGTGAAATTGGTAATCATAGTTTGCCAATTCAGAAATGGGAGCCATGATTATTAAGACATAGCCATCCAAAAGGCATTAAAAAACTGGAATTGATATCTTTTCAGAATATAGCAGAAAAATGGAATTGCATACATATATGGTATTCCTTTTTCTTAACCTCTCTCATCATGGCTTCAGATTGTTCATTTTGTAGATTAACCGTATTTTTAAAAAGTAAGTTTGTTGCTTGTTTGTTGTTTGCATATGAGTGCTTCTCCAATCCATGCTGATAGTACTTCAAAAACGTATATGATCTTTTTTTTAAAATTCATCAGCAATCCATCTCAAGCCCAGCTCCTTTACAGCAAGTTTTCAGCAACCAGCCCGTGTGTCCAGTACAGCAACCTGCACCTCATCTTTTGTCCCAGTTTCAAGCGCCCAGTTCTCATATGGCAGCTACCAGTGCACCACTGGCACCTCTGCAGGTCCCCTCTGTGCAATCACTTCCACCGGTTCCACCTGCTCAAGTAAGTGCTTTGTAGCACTCAATAAGGTTTCCTTATTTTGGCATGGAGACTTCATATTGCTAGAAACATGGAAATGTTTTCAAGTATCAGTTGGCTTTTGTAATCTAAATGAGTTTTTTAGTCATCTAAATGATTACTAAATTGCTTTCCTCCGTGCGTTTTAATGCCAGGTAAGTGTACAAGTGGAACACCAGCTGAAACTGAGAAAAGTTATCCACATCCTCACAAGCCCAGACCATGATATCTGACCTGGTCATGGTATCTGCCTCATCCATTTTACTCAGTGGAAGATGTGCAACTTAGTATCATATTATCCAAATTGATATGCTATTTCTCTCAGTGGATTTAGGTGGATGTTGAACAGGATAGGGGATAGGACTATAAGAGTCCACAATGAAGCATCAGAAAGCCAGACCTTTCCCTATCTATCACCCCAATTCCGACGTTCATAGCCTGCCCAGATGAAACTTGTCCAATATCGAGGGCTATTAAAAGATCTAGGAAAACAATGACAGTTGCATTTGCTCTATCCAAATCCTAGCTCAGGTCATCCCCGACAGCAACCAGTGTGTATTTTGATTCATGCTGAGCCTGAATCTGGACTGACATTACTTGAGATAATTTGTGTTCTCTGTAACTGCAGCCCCCATCACTTTTTCCACAACCTTCCCAAAGAAGGAGAGATTGGAAAAAGAATTTTCCATTGGATCTGATCCAGGCCTTTTGAGGAATGGATGGATCAAAATCTCTTTAAGTAGAATTTTCTTCTTCAGTGGCACACATCTAGTCTGTCCTCTCATTCACAATTAAATCATATATAAGAGTTAAGTTTATTGTCGGCTGACATTTAAAACAATCAACATGAGCCCACAATGCTCAGCCATTCAGTTGTCTGGCTCATGTGTCATGATTTTGGCACGGAAGTACAAATTTCCAATCCTATTTTTCCTGGGATGTCTCTTCCCCTGTCTCAAATCTTCTTTTATACTTTCCCCTACTGATTTTCTCCCCCATTTCTGTCCCCCTTAGCCAGAGTTTCTCAATCTTGGCAACTTTAAGATAGTAGTTAGGAAATTCTGAAAGATTAACTCTACGTATCTTAAAAATGCCAAGCTTGAAAAACACAGTCCTCAGCTACTTAGCTCATACTCCCAAACACTCCAATCATGCAAAATAACCATCTCTTCACCAAGGACAATCAAGTACAATATCTGGGAGCTGCACTCAAAGCAATCATGCATTCTCAAGCTTTACATTCCCCAAACCCTCTTCAACCCAGTTCTCTTCCCTTCCACCCTTATTTGGCTCTTTCTTAGCTGGCTCAGAAGGTGATAAATACACTGCCCCCTTTTCTCATTCTGGAAAGGGGATTCCCCCCCCCCCCCCCGCCCCACATCTTTGACTCCCATTTAGAAAGCCATGGTCTTGTCTTTTCTCTTTGGTGGTTCTGTTTGTTTTTCCAATATCTCCTCCACTGTTTGGTGTAAGGAAACGGAACTGCACTTAAGGAAACAGAACTCCACTGGCCCATTTCAGTTGACACAGTTTCCAAAAGAACCTTGCCATCTGGTGTATTTTTGGGCTTCTTCACACTTGTATCTTATTTCTTCGGTCTTCTGTTTTTAATGTATGTTCCTCTACTATTTATTCCAGTTCTAATTTTACTTCCTCTGTTTTTCAGGAAAAAACAATAGATGGCAGATGAGGCTGTAACAGTTTAATTGTAGACTTGTAGTGCAATCTGTATCAGATAAACAATAAGAGATAAAGCAGAATGTGTGATTCTTCTTCTGCAATTCCTATTTGTTAAGTCCTTTCATATAATAGGAAAAACCCAGATTGACTACCACCAAGATAACAAAATAACAGAGTTGGAAGGGACCTTGGAGGTCTTCTAGTCCAACCCCCTGCTCAGGCAGGAAACCCTAAACCATTTCAGACAAATGTTGTCCAATCTCTTCTTAAAACTTCCAGTGTTGGAGCGTTCACAACTTGTGGAGGCAAGTTGTTCCACTGATTAATTGCTCTGTCAGGAAATTTCTCCTTAGTTTAATTCTAGGTTGCTTATCTCTGTAATATTAGTTTCCACCCATTGCTTTTTGTCCTGCTTTCAGGTGCTTTGGAGACTAGGTTGATTTACTCTTCTTTGTGGCAATCCCTTAAATATTGGAACACTGCTATCATGTCACCCCGAGTCCTTCTTTTCATTAAACTAGACATAGTCGATTCCAGCAACCATTCTTTATATGTTTTAGCCTCCAGTCCCCTAATCACCTTTGTTCTTCTTTCTAGAGCAGTGGACCCCAACCTTTTAGGCAGTAGGGACCGGTTCTGTGGTTTCATGTGCTGCCTGCATCCCGTGGATGTGGCTTCCCTTGTTTGCACAGCCCGATTTCTGACATGCCGCGGATCACTGCCAGTCCACGGACCAGGGACCTTGTTCTAGACTTTCAACTTCTTTTTTACATTGTGGCGACCAAAGCTGGATGCACGATTCCAAGTGTGGTCTTACTAAGGCATCATAGAGATGATATCATATAAATATTTTTGATTCAATTATTCCTGCCCCCCAGTTCTTGTCATAAGTAGCTAAATAGCTTCAAAAGTGAGTCCTGATTAAGGTTTTCAGAATACAATAAAATCAAAATTAAACCAGAGATTGCTTTTTTCATTTCCCATCCCCTTTTTTTCCTCTAGACTTTACCCTTAGTGCAAATGATTCCTCTCTTTCTTTCCAGCTGTAGCTTTGTAGCTTTATGGGGAAAATTATTTGTTTGTACTTTGACCTTCCTGTAATTGTGCAACCACATTTCCCCAAATGAACCCTCCCAGAAACCTCAAAGAATATGTGATGCTCTCTGTGTTTTTACACCTTACTTGTAGCTAGTAGGCAACTACAGATACAAAGTGTTGGAGTATATGGACAGGTACAAGCTCCAACTATGATTGCATTGAATGAATTAGGGTTTTCACAAGCAGGATGTTTGTTGTAAAATCTGATCACATTCAACAAGGGCATGGATATTATCAAAGCATCACTTACCTTATAAATGACTAGCTATATGTTTACCCATCTGAGATGTAAACGATATGAGAGAATTGCAGCTTCCAAAAATCCCAAGCTTCTTGGAAATTTGAAGTTGCCATTCACATACATCTAGGAAGGACCATGTTTGAAAAAGCTGATCTATGATATGATGTAGTTCCAAGAACTCAGTTAAGTAAATCTAGTACAAATGCATTTTAATTATTCCTGTAACTGTATTACATAATAATCTATTTTTAAACTTCACTATCTCAATAATAGAAGTTTAGGATTATTTTTAATGTTAAAGAAAAATGAGCCTGCAAATTATTTTGTATAGTTATAGTAAGTGAAACTAATATCTCAAATCAAAGCTATAAGATATCAGTGAAGGTATATTAAATAATGGTTTTGTCAAAGTTGTATAATGTTGAACATTGTTATGCTTACTTATTTGTATTGTGAATAGCATCATTTATATACACTTACAGCTGCTATCCTACTTTAAATAATTGGAATTTCTTAAATGCTTGTTTTTACTGATAATGTATTCCAATTTATCATTTTTAATATGCTCCTCCCAGCCTGAATTTCATTTGTTATGCTTGCTAAGCTCATATATTCTCTGTATTGTTCTTATAGACATAATAAGTTGTTCTTACCCACTCTTGACCCTAGGCATACTTACTTCCTGCAGCATCATATCCAGTGGTGGAATTCAAAAATCCCAGCAACCAATTTGCTGCCCAGTTGCTGGGTGGGCATGGCCGCTTTTCACCTTCCCAAGGGTCCAGAGGCTTCCCTCAAGCCTGTGGGAGGGCGAAAATGGCCTCCCCGGGCTCTGGAGACCCTCTAGAATCTGGAAACAGGCCCATTTCATAACTTCCTGTATGGTAGGACAGTTTTTCACCTTCCCAAGGGTCCGGAGGCTTTCTTCAGGCCTCTGGCAGGGTGAAAACAGCCTCCCCCGGGTTCTGAAGGCCTTCCGGAAGCCGGAAACAGCCCCGTTTCCAGATTTCCGGAAGGCCCATTTTCCCCCCTCCCAGAGCCTCCACGCGGACCCTGCACTTACCTGCATCAAAAATGGGCTGTGTAGAGACTCCTGGGTGGGGTGGGCAGGGCCATCCAGTCAGTTCAAATTCCAATTCGGCGAACCAGATGCAACTTTTACTGGACCGGTAGAATCCCACCTCTGATCATATTCTCTGCAATGGAGAATTTTTTGCACTAATTCTAATGCACAAATTAATCTGCATTCTGAATATTGCTGAATTTTAACATTTATAGTCCAGCAACACATCATTCAAAATCATCACATGAGTTCAATTTAGGAGGAAGATACTAGGTTGCATGCAATATATGTATAATTAATTAATAGAAACTTTGAAACTATAGCAGTTTTAGTGCAGATGAAGTGTTTATGCTTATGCATGGGTAGCTTATTAGTTGAGAGAGCAACATAATACTCTACTGAAGTGAAATCAAATACTATTAGTGCATGCCAGATATTTGCCTAAAATGTTTCTAGACATGCAATGAGTGATTATTGATAGGTTGCTGCATGCTTTATTTATTTCCTTTGTATTAATTTTGGATTGGTCCGTTAACATGCAGTTGCTTTGAAAGCCTATCCTGCACTTGTTCTGGGACAATTTACATTCATGAAAAAATGAATGGGAACCATTTTTCATTGTATTGATGGAATTTACAATTTAGGCACCACCCAACTCTAAATACTCTGGTTTGCTTTAAAAGGAGGAATCATTTTATTAATATAAAACAAATGAATTGATTTAATGTCATCTGGGAATTCTCTCACAATTTATATTGTATAATATTATATTTTTTTCCAGATTCCTCAGTTCCCCATCATTCCTGCAGTCACCCCTCTGGTAGGACTTGACACTCATCCTTCAAACCTGTCTGATATACCTGCTGCAAATATGACCCCCGTCCCTGCTCCTTCTCAATATTTTCCTTCAGCTGTGATAATACCAAGCCTTCCTGTGAACTCAGCTCTGCCACTGTCATCCAATTCCCCTGCCCTCCCCATGCAAGCAGTCAACCTTCCTCATACTACTGTGGCTTCCTTGGTCTTACCCTGCCAAACAATTGTGCCAAATATGCCAGATGCTACAGTACCATTAATTTCTATGCCTCTACCGGGAGTGTCAGCTTTACCAACACATCATGCGGCAGCCCAGCTCTCCCAACAACAAATGTACCAGGCTACCCTCCAGCAGATAATACAAAACGAAGCTATGTCTTCTCCCCTCCACACTCAGAATATGCAAGCAGTTTCACAACAGCAGCAACAGATGCTGTCTTCACTTCCACAGTCACTCCAGCCAAGCATAATTCATCCTTCAGAACAGGCTATGTCTGCTTCTGGGGCTGGTAATCAGGTAATCTATTTGACATTGGATTTCCATGGGTTTAGATCATAGTAGTAGTTCTCCAAGCTCTCCAAGTTCTCTTGTAGATAGTTCAAATTTTAAAAGAAATTTGGGAGATTAATGTCCATCAAGATAAGATAATCCAGTGAATTGATTAGAACAGTGAAACACTAAATATGAAGGACAGCTTGAAAAGGAAATGTCAAAGAATGCTTAAGGGGCCTAAAGTGAAAACTTCTGTCCCAGGAGGTGACATTATTTCTTCTCAGAAATGAAGAACACTTTTAATTTCCAGATACAGTTAGTGTTTTCCAATATGTCACTGCAGTCAGAGTATAAAATGATAATAAATTCTTAATGAAAGTAAATCTCTTATAAGTAAATTAGTAGAATAGCGTAATTTAAGTGCATGCCGGTTTCTTTAAAAGTAGGCATTTATTTTACAAAGAAGAATTTTAGAACAATTTAAAAACATTTAATGGTAAGAAATACCTTCTTATCGCAATTAAAATTTAAACAATGGCTGAAGATACATATATATCTATATACCGCAGGTATATAGATTGTGTGTGTAAGTGTGTACATTTTTTTCAAGTTCAGGAGAATAGAAGCTTCTAATTTTAAATATAAAAGATTATTAGGTAATGTAATGCAACATGAGACAAGAATGGATGGAGAAGAAAATAGTTTATAAAAAGATTGAAGATTTATTTTAAACAGGAATGTTATAAGAAATCATAGCATTTTATCATTTATCATCTACCACCTTAAGAGCACAACATTCCATCTCAAACTATTGTTCTGTACGTCCAACTTTACTGTACTACATCTAATGTTTTCAGCCACATAATTTGGTACATAAAAATTGTTTGGGAAGAATTTGTATTCACCTGGTCATAGTCTAACCTCTAATGAATCAATAATATTTATTCTGATTCACTTCAATGTTAATTGTACCATCCAATGTGTTTCTTTAAATATTTGAGATATCTTTCACTGATGTCATATATCAGTTTTGATTCAGACTGTGTTTTGTTATCAAATGGGATCTGGAGGCATTATTGAAAATCTATACATATACTTTATACCTTGCTCCAAAAGATGAAAAATAAGGACATTCAAGCTGTCTCCATTTCACTTATGTCATTGGTTCCTATTACTGTAAATGTTCATTTCACACCCAACAAAAATCATGGAAATTTGCTGATATCATGTAAAATGATTCAAGTCGTTAAATGTTTGTCATATTTTCTCTATATGGTATAACAACTGATAAATTGAGATAGATAGGCAGGCAGGCAGGCAGGCAGACAGACAGATATAAAAGAGAGAGAGAGAGAGAGGAAG